GTGTGTGTGTGTGTGTGTGTGTGTGTGTGTGTGTGTGTGTGTGTGTGTGTGTGTGTGTAGGGCAAGTGTTTGGGGGTCAAGAATGGAGAGCGGTCTGGGAGTAGAGGGCCTTTCCTCATCCCTGATCAGAGCTGGCTCCCTAAGGAGGGATCTTGAGGGGTTATGGGGGGGTCCTATGCGTTAGCTTATGAGACGATAGCAGATCCAGCATCCAAAAGTGACCCAGTGACTGGCCCAGCTGAGCTCGGACCACTTGTGGACAGTGTATGTCATGCCGTAGCCCTGTGGGAGAAAAAGAGGTGATGGTTTCACTCAGCAAGAACAAATGGGGTCTCAGCAAAACCCATCCTCTGCCCAAGGACATTTCTGTGACTTCTCAGCATCCCTAGGGGATAAAAGGCCCTGGGCACATGTGAAAAGTGACCAAACACAGTTTTTGTTTTCTTTAAAAATTGTTTTAGCTCAGTGGTGCCACACTTGCCTGGCAAGTGCAAGGTCCTGAGTTCTATCCCTGGTACCGGGGGGGAAAAATCATTTCAGTTGGACATGGTGGTGCATGCCTGTAAGCCAAGCACTAGGGAGGCTGAGGCAGGAGGATTGCTGCAAGTTCAAGGTCAACCTGAACTGCATAGTGAGACCCTGTCTCAAAAAAAAAAAAAAAAGATCATTTTGCCGGGGATGTAGCTCAGTGGCACAGCGCCTGCCTGGCTAGCATGTGAGGCCCTGAGTTTGACTCCCGCTATAAAAAAAAATCATTTTATTTTATTTTTTTCAGTATCAGGGACCGAACTCATTACCTTGTGCTTGCAAAGCAGGTGCGGTGCCACTGAGCTAAATCCCCAGCCCTAAAAATGTCATTTTAAAGGGGATGGGTATGTAGCTTAGCAGTGGAGCACTTGCCTGGCATGCATGAGGCCCTAGGTTCCATCCCCAGCACTGCCAAAAACAATCACTTTAAGGGGCTGAGGGTGTAGTTTACTGTGTCTTTAGCATGCATGGGGCCTTGAGTTTGATTCCCAGCACCACCAAAAAAATCATTTTAAACAAGACAGTGCAATCCTACTTTCTGACCTGTAATCTCCAATATATAAAGAGGTACTAGAAGTCAATTTTTTGTAAAAGCCAAGAAATTACCACAGGGAGTAAGCCATCCCAGTAAAGGAAAATCAAATGGCTCTTAAGCACAGAAACATGCTCAGCTTTACTCACAATCTTACTCCTATCCAAGTGGCAACCATATCCAAGAGTCTGTGCTGGTGGGAGGGCAGAAAGTCACCTCTCCAGTTCAGTGCTCAGGAGCAGAGCCTGAAGACCGTTTGCACCTGTGTGAAGCCACATGGATACTGCACAAGGGCTTCTACTGCAGCTTCACAGGGACCATTGAGTGTCTACCAGTCAGGGACAAATTAAACCGTCACATTTTCACCATGGAAAATGAATGGGGACACTATGTACGGATGTGGAAGACTTTTAGAAATTGTAGAACAGTGTCATTCATGTGTTGCCTTTAGGTTAAAAACTCTAGGGGAGGGAATTAAAATATATCTTTATATTTGCTTGATATGGTCAACATTTTGAAGGATATATTTATAAAATGAATAAGTGATTACTTATAAGAAGGGCTAGAGGATGGGAGCAAGACTTCCCTGTGAATATCTTCATATCTTAAATATTGTTTTTTTGTTTTGTTTTCTTTGTGTGGGGGGGGTGTGAGACAAGGTCTTGCTATATAGTTCAGGCTGGCTGTAAACTCACCACGTAACCTGAGCTGGCCTTGAGTTTGTGGTGATCCTCCTGCCTCAGTGCCCCACCCCCTGCCCCCCAGTGCTGGGATTACAGGTGTGCACCATCACGTGCACCATCACGCCTAGCTTTGTTTTCTTCCTTTGTTGTTGTTTTGTACTGTTGGGGATAGAACCCAGGCCTGGCACATGCTAGGCAAGCACTCTACCACTGAGTTACACCCTCAGCAATAAATAACGACAAAAGAACTTTATTTAAGAAGGCAAGCCCAGATTTTGCATATATAATAAAAATTTTAAATTGTTGAGTATTTTGTTTGCTTTTTTCAAAGATCTTTTCTTAACCTTTTTTTTTTTTTTTTTTGGTACCAGGGATTGAACTTGGGACCTTGTGCTTGTGAGGCAGGCAGTGGAACCACTGAGCTAAATCCCCCGCCCTCTTAACATGTTTTGATAGTCTCATTATGTAACCCAGGTTGGCCTTGAATTCCAGACCCTCCTGCCTTAACCTTCCATGTGCTAGGATTATAGGCATGCGCCACCACATATGGCCAATTTTTTTTTTCAGACACAGTCTCACTTTGTAGTTCAGACTGGCCTTGAACTCACTGTGTAGCCCAGGCTGGACTCAAACTGTAATCCTCCTGCCTCAGCCTCCTGAGTGTTGGGATTACAGGCGTGCACCACCACACCCGGCTGTAAAGGCAGCACTTTGAGACGCTTAGGCAGGAGGATTCCAAGTTGAGTCCAGCCTCTGCAACTAAGGGACCTAGTGAGAGTTTGTCTCAAAATAAAAAATAAAGGGGCCAGGGATTTAGCTCAGTGTTTCTGCCGCCTGCCTCGCAAGTGCCTCCAAGTTTGAGGCCAGCCTGGGCTATATAGTGAGTCCCCATCTCAAAACAACAACAGAAAATTAAATAAATAAATAATTAAAAAGTAAACCTGGGTTTTGTACACCATCTTTACAAAATGATTTTTTTTGTTTGTTTGGGGATTGAACCCAGAACCGTCACACTGAGCTACATCCCCGGACCTTTTTATTTATTTATTTATTTATTTATTTATTTATTTATTTATTTATGAGAGTTTCTCACTAAGTCCTTTCGTTACCCAGGCTGGGATCAAACTTGTGATACTCCTGCCTGAGCTTCCCATTTTGCTGGCATTATAGGCATGCATCACAACACCCATCCTATAATAAATTTTGAAAGGAAAATAAATAAATTTCCACATCTCTCTCAAAGAGCAAACACTGTAACTCAAACAGAGGGACACTAAGAAAGGGAGGGTGAAGCACACTCACTGCACATGCTAAGAAATAGGACTGAGGAGCTCCTCCCTCCTTCTCCCTGTCCCCAAGTTTCCCATGAACAGGAAGTGCCATTCCTGGTTTTCCCTCCAGCCCAGGGCCCCACCTCACCTGCTCCTCTGTGGTGTCATCCACATCAACATCAAACAGGGAGCCCAGGTAGGCCAGGTGGAAGATGGCCAGGGCCCCAAAGAGCAAGTTTAAGGCTCGCACCCCCAGGCCCTGTGGGGGACAGATGGACATGCTTGGTAGCTGTACCTACTCACTGTCCCCACCGCCGCCTGCACAGGGAAACCCAGCAGGATTCGCAAGGCACTGTGGGTCCCAGGAATAGGGATGCCCAGGTGAGACGGGAAAGAGATGGTTCAGGGAGCCTCTTAAGGGAGCTCAGAGGGCGAGGGTGTTGTGAACCATGAGGACGTCCGGGTTGGAAGAGATGCAAGTGTTCAAGTGGAGGAGCAAGAATGGTGGGGCTTTGAGCAAGGGTTTTAAGGTGATGAACACTGGTCCCACATGGACACAAACTATGTGACGTTGTCGGTATTTCTTAGGCCAAACAGAGTAACAACAACAAAACAAAAACAAGTCCCCGCTATGACCTGGAGGGCCCACATCTCCCCTGCGTTACTCTGCTCCAGCCACACTGGCCTCTCATGGTTCCTCAGACTGCAGGCATGCTCCCATTTTCCTCCACATGGGGGTCTCTTCAGCCTGGGATGCTTCTCTCCCTCACCTCCTTCCCTAAAGTCCCCTTACCTTGGAAGTGTCCCTGACCTTATTTAAAAGGGAACCCTCTCACACTTCCCACTCCCTTGCCCTATATTTAGCACTATTCACAACCTGACTAATATTAGATTTCATTAACTTAATTTTCACTTTATTCTCTCCTCTGTTAAAATGTTTGTCCCGTTGGGCCAGACTTTGGCCTGTTTTGTTCACCACTGTATCTCCAGCAACCTAAAACCAGCAGGTGCTCAGTGAGTGTTCACTGAGGGCACATGTGCCACGTGTACATACAGCAGGTGTTCAATAAATGCCTATTAGAGAAACAAATGCTAGTGAATAGAGGTGAGGATACAGGGATGGCTCTGGCACCAGAAAAGGAATCTGGGCACCCTATGACAGATACAAAATGCAGACAGAAGTGACATTTCTGAGGGGGAGGGCTGGGAATGAGGTTCCCCAGGCAGAACCCTCACCAAGCGATGCCGGTGTGGACAGTCTGGTCGACATGGCTTTGACAAGACGCAGGCACTGAGGATCTGAGCCAGGCGCTTCCGGAGGACTGGGGCAGTGCGGGGAGGTAAGGGGATCAGGTTAGCCTTAGGGGACAGTGGCTCCAGGCCTCCCATGGACCTTGGACCTTCAGTCTGCCTGCTGAACCAGGTCGGGCACTCACCATGCTCCACATAAGTGATAAACGCCAAGGACAGCAGTACCGCAGCCAAGTGGAAGCTGAAGCCCTGGGAGCCCAGGGGGCAAGGAAATGAGTGAGGAGGAGGCCCTGCCACCCACCCAGTGCCCCCATCCCACTCCACCTTACTCACGTGCAGGAGGGCGCTGGCCGCATAGGTGACCAGTATGGCTGAGAAGGTGCCCAGGCGGAGAGCATTCTTGAAAACATCTGGACGGGAGAGATGCAGGTCAGGATTTTTTTTTTTTTTTTTGGTACTGGGGATCAAACTCAGGTCCTTCCACTTTTGAGGCAGGCAGCGGAACCACTGAGCTAAGTCCCAGGCCCAGGTCAGGATTCTTCAGAGATTCCTGGTGCCATTCCCAAGAGCCACAAGCAGGATGAGAACACCCACAATTGGTTGGGGCCCCTGGGATTAAAGTCCTGATGATGATCTCCATCTTCACCTGCCCAAATCCTAGCTTCTGAACCTCCCTGGCTGCCTGCTCCTCCCACAGTCTTCCCAAATTCAGTTCAGGGACCTCAGGGCACATGGCTCAGAATCACCCTGGATCTGCAATCTCCCTTAATCTGAATCTTTAGCGAATCCCCTGAGCTCCACCTTTAGAATTTATACCTCCTGTCCTTGTGACCTGCTGCCACCACTGTCGCTGGCCTGGACTGCTGGTTCTGGCCTCATCTTTGCCCTCAGTCTGTTCCCCAGCAGCCAGAGGGATCCTGTTACAACATGGAGCCCTGCCCTGAGTAACTCCTGTCACCCTTGGAGAAAAAGCCAAAGGCCTTTCCATGGCCCACATGGCCCTACAGGACCTCCTGGAGCTTGTGTCCTAGCACTGGCATCCTGACTTACTCTGCCCTCCCCAGCGACCTTCTTCCCTTCTCCCCCAACTCCATGATGCTAGGGATGGAGCCCAGGGCCTGGCACGAACTAAGCATGAGCTCCACCTCCAGACCAAAATGACCTTGCCATTCATTCTTCACACACCAAGCAAGCTCTTGCCTCAGGGCATTTGCACCTGCTGCTTCTTCATCTGTTGAATTTCTCCCTCACATATCTGCATTCCTTTATCCCTCACCTTCCTCAGATGTCACATCCTCAATCTCTTTTGTTTTTTTTTTTTGGTACCAGGGATCGAACTCAGGACCTCCCGATTCAAGGCAGGCAGCTAACACTGAGCTAAATCCCCGGGCCCCTCCCTCCATCTCTTGATCCCCTTCCCATTTGAGAAAGATCTATCTCCCTACTTCCTATTATGTTTTATCTTGCTCTTTATTTATAATTTGAGGTTTTTATTATTTCATTGTAACACTTCTCACCTTGAATTTTGATACATTTATTACATCTAAAAAATTTTTTTGAGACAGGGTCTTACTATCAGGCCAAGCTGGCCTTGAACTCATTATGTAGGCCAGGCAGGCCTTGAACTCATGGCGATCCTCCTGCCTCAGCCTCCCAAATGCTGAGATTACAGGCATGCACCGCCATGCCTGGCCTACATCTGAACTAGTGTAGTTTTTTCTTATTATGTCCCACCACCAAATGGCAGTTCCACTGGGGCAGTGACTGTGTGGTTTTTTTTTTTTTTGTTCCTGCTGTATCTTTGGTGCCCAGTGCAGTTGCTCAGTAAATGTCTGTTATATAAATATGTGACCAGGCCTCCTGGATTACCAACTCCCCTGCAGTGGTGACTTGGTGACTCACAGTTATTTAGCCAATAAGACATAGGCAGGTTCCAGCTTGTGACAACTTCCACCATTGACCGGGGGAGCTCCACATTCAGTGGCCTGGACACTGTTAAGTCCCTGTGGGCAAAAGAGCCATGCAAATCCAATTGGGATCTCAACCCATCTGGCTGCTGCACTTTTGTCTCGCTGTTCCCTCCCCTGGGAGCACCCTCCCTCCTCCCTGCAGCTCCCCTAGGCAGCACCATGGGGAAGAGTGAGCCCTCAGTCACTCCCACCATTCCAGGTGATCCTTCTCCTCGGTGAAGCCGGTCCCTGCCAGCGTGGCTGTGGCCTCAGACAGAAAGCCCACAAAATAGTTGCTGAAGTGGAAGGAGACTGCACTCTCGTAGGCTCTCAGCCACCTGGAGAGGAAGGGGTAGGGGAGAGAGGCATGAGCCTAGGGCCCCCATGACACCCCACCAGGTGTCACCATCCCCGGTCCGGCTCGGTGGACTCACCTTACTATGGTGCCCCTAGGGCCCCCAGGGGTCAGGAAGGCAGCAGAGAGGAAAGAAAAGACAGAGAGGTCTTGAAGACTGGGCTGAGTTGTTCATAGACAAGACAGACAGAAATGTAGTGGCAAAAGAAGCAGCCTATGATAGTCACACGCAGACATACACTGGCAGGTGGTTCGTTTCACGTGGCCCACACAGATGCACGAGCTGTCCTATGATCTGACACAGCCCTGCAAGCTAAAACACCACACCACCAGCCACAAAGGCTATCAGACTCCCAGCCTTGAACCTCTCATCAGACTCAGTAACCATAAGTCAGTCAAAACCCTTTAGTGATGCTCTGAACCATTTAGCATGTGTGAAAACAAACCATACACACACAGATGCATGTACACATACACATTCTGTCAATTTTACAATCAGATATGGCCAAAACCAGGCAGCATCCTGCATCAGTCAAAGCATAAGGTCTGAAAATAGGCCTGGGATTCATGCCTGGCTGCTTAGCTGGGTGACAGTGGTCAAGTCACTGGACTTTTTGGAAACTCATTCATTAGCAGACATAATTAGCAGCCAGTGAAGGGGGGAGAGGCCATACAATCACACAGCCAGAGCCAATCCTAGGTCAAAGCAGAGGCAGCCAGTCAGTCCTACAGACAGGTGCAGGTTCCTAGTTGGTCACAACCCAGCGGCTAGCCAATACCAAGCAGTCAGAGACAGCAGACACACAGGCGGGATCAATCAGACAGGCACACAGCATGCTACAGTCAGACCAGAGTGACCACCAAGCCAGAATCACCCACTCAGATCTACCCTATCCAATGACAGCCACACACCCCATCAGTGACAATGACACAGCCAGCCAGCCAGAACTCTCAGTTCCACATATGGGGGAGTCAGGGGCCATAGGCAAACAACCCATATATCCCCCTAGCCAGAGTCACAGATAGGCCAGAGTCACCAACTAATGCACACTTGTCACTCCCAATTTTGGGCACATAACTTGTTCCTAATGATGAAAGAGATGAACAAATGGACAGCCAGACACATAGTATGTGTCGCAGTGTCAGTCACATACAGTCACAGAGCCAATCTTGGTCAGTCTCTGTCTAGTCATGGGGTGGAAGGTCAGGTAGATTCAGACTTCCGGAAGCAAGTGGTCCTAGGCCCTGCCCCACCCCTAGGCACCCCACTCGCCCTTAGCACCTGCCCTCATTTACCTGGCTTTGCGTTTCTTGCTGTAGCAACAGAAGAGGACAGAAGTATTAAGAGACAGGCTCAGAATTGGGGAGACCCCAGGCCCCTACCCAACCCCCTCACTGCTGGGCTGGGGCCTCAAAGGCTGTGCTCACTTGCGAAGGAGGCGGTCACCATCAAGGGGGATGAAGTAGGGGAAGAGGTAAGGGCCCACACAAGTGGACAATACAAGGCACAACAGGGCCAGTGCCAGGCTCCGGGCCACCTTCTGTAGCCATCGGCGGCTCTGTGGGGATGAAGGCTCCATGAGCACTGCCCTCTGGTGGCTCCCACAGTCCCTGCCCACCTGTCTACCCAGGACCTCACCAGTGGGCGGCCTTGGACAGCCTGTAGGTAGCTGTCGAAGGGTATCCAGGGCCCAAAGACGATGGTGCCCACGAAGTAGAGGTAGCCCATGAATTCCACAGGTGAGGGCACAACACCCACCTCGCCTCGGTCCAGGTCGAAGCCCAGAGACACCGCCTTCATGGCCACAATCATCTGGGCCCCTATGTGTGGGGCCCATGGTCAAGTGGATGGGCAAGAGAGCAGGTCAGCACGGAGGGAGAGGGTTCACCAAGTGACAGATGTGAGGAAAAGGGGGTACGAGAGCAGGGACGCAGGCACAGGGATAGACAGGCAGGTGGACAAATGAGCCAGGACAGGGAGACACCCTTACTCAAAGATGTCAGGCACATATATAACATTGGACACTCAGACTTGTGGGGGAAAACATGGTAGAGAGACCCAGAGGCAAGGGGAATGTCAGGCCTGCATTGTTGGGTGGTGGATGAGGGAGAGAAGTGGAGGAAAGACTCAGGTTGAGGCCAATGAGGAATTGTGGAGGGGACAGGAGGGCTGGGGCAGGGCTAACCTACCTCGCATCTTGTGCCATGTTACGGTGTCCACCATGTGCATCTCACTGAGGGGAAAAGGTCCTGGTCTTGGCCCCACAGCCCCCATGGCCTAAGATCATGGGGGGACATGGAGGGGGAGCACCAAGCTGCCCAGAGGACTCCCCATTCCCTTGTGCTGCACAACCTCATGAAGGAAAGTTGTCCCAGGCTCCCTCCTCCAGAGGAAGCCCACACCCACCTGTCCTGTGCAGCATGGTGGAAGGACAACCCTTGCAGGTCCCCTCCTCTGGCAACACTGCACACTCCCCATTTAGTACCTCTGCCTAGAACAACTCTCTCAGACACCCTTCTTTCTCCCTGGACTCTCCAAACTTCCCCATCTTGAACGACCATGTCAGGTACCACAGGGGGCCACCCACACTTCTTCCCACAGCGAGAGGATGAGGAAGCACAGCCGTACCCCATGAGCAGGTAGATGAGGATGGTGACAGAGAGGAAGACGCCACGATGGGACGAGTGTCGGCAGAGGAAGAGCACGAGGTAGCACAGGAGGCTCAGCAGCACGACCCAGACCATGTGCAGCTGGAAGAAGTGGTAGAGGCTGAAGAAGCCACCTGCCACGGTGCTTGCATGCTTCAGGTAGGATGGCAATCCTTCGGGAGAGGGAGAGAGGGGAGAGAGAGAGGGTGGGAAGGAGAGAACAAGAAAGGGAAGGTTGGTGGGCTGGCAGGAGGGGGAGGAAGACACGGGCACAGGGAACAGCCTAGAAGTCACATGTGGTGGGGACTGAAGGGGGCCCATAACTGATATTGCGGAGCTGGAGAGGGTGATAGGGCCTGGGTTTAAAAAAAAGAAACATCTCTAAAGGACATTCTGGGGACCCTGGAAGAAATTCAAGTATCAGTTTATGTTGGATAATATTATTGCATCTGGGGATGTGGTGGCACATGCCTGTAATTCCAGCACTTAGGAGTCTGAAGTAGGAGGATTGCCATGAGTTTGAGGCCAGTCTGGGCTACATAGTGAGTTCAAGGCCAGCCTGAACTACAAAGCAAGACCCTGTCTCAAAAAAATTTACTGCATCCACAATAAAACTTTAGAGAGTGCTGGTTAAAGATATAGTTGTGGGAAAATACATTCTTTTTACTGGTGGCCACATACTAAAGGATTTGGGCTGAAGTGTCATAATATCAGCAGGTTATTCAAGTGATTCAGGAAGACCATAGGTAGATAGGCAGATAGACAGATAGATAAAGCAAGCTAGTATGGCAAAATTCTAACAGTTGGAGAATCTGTTGAAGTATATAGGCATGTTCCCTGTACTATTTTTTTCAACTTTTCAGTAGCTTTGAAATATGTCAAAATAATAAACCTGGGAGGGCCGAGAATGTAGCTCAATGGCACAGGGCTTGCCTAGCATGCATGAGGCTCTGGGTTAAATGCCAAACACCACAAAATACTAATACTAACAAACCTGGGAAAAAACAAAACATTCAATTAAAATTAAAAGAAAAAACCCCCAGCAGAGCCTTTGAATTTTATATTCCCAGAAATCTCTGCATCCTATAGGAACCTTGGGGACTTTGAACCTTATCCTTTGGATATGCCTGCTATGATTCTGGCCAGAACCCTAGAATCCAGAAATCTCATCATGTCCCGATTCTAGAAATCCAGAATGCTAACATTTTGAAAGCCTAGAATGTGAGAATTTCAACTTGCCAGAATCTCCATATGTTGTAACCATGGCACTTTGAGATTCTTTAACCCTGGACATCAGCATTCCAGAGCAACCTTGGGATGTAGATATTTCAGGACCTCACCAAGAACCTCAGCTTTCCAGAATCCTAGAGCCCACAAATACTGAAGGGCGTGAGTTGGTATGATAGGATGTGGCTTGGCATGGTATGGCATGTGGTGGCTGAGCACAGTAGGATGTGGTAAGGTGGCATGAAGCTTGGGGGGTGGTGGGATCTGATGGGGCTGAACACATCTAGACCTAGCTTGGCATGGCAGGGTGTAGCAGGGTGAGGTGTGGCTTAGTATGGACAAACATGGCAGATATGGTATGGTCTGGCATGGTGGCAGGCACATGGTGGGCAAGGCACTTACCCAGCCTCCAGAGGAGGCGACAGGCGAGGCAGATGGCAAGGAGCAGCCAGATCTGGTCAAGTCCCTGCTGGATGGTAGGCAGGAGACAGCCCTGCAGTAGCTGCTGGAAAAATTCCTGGCGGCTGAAGGTGGCCATTGTGGACCCCCACAAATGGGTGGACAGATGGACAGATCTGCCAAGGGGAAGGACACAGAGGGAGCAGGATGTCCACGGGGCTGCCCATGCCCAAGGGAATAGACTTGAGCATCCTGTTTCATTTGGAGCTGCTCAACCCACAGCTGGTACTGGGGGGTCTGGGGAAGGATGGGAACATCAGGTACATTAGACTGAGCCCCCAACTGTGCGTGCGAGTAGGTGTTCTGGGTGCACAAGCACAGCTGTGACCCGCGGTGAATGAATGCCCGTGTATCTTGAATGCTGTGAACAGTCCGGTCGAATGATGATCAAATGATGTACATTCTAGGCCCACAGATCAAGCGGGGCAGGGGGAGGGGGCTCTGGTTTCCAAGGTATAGTGGCTCTGTGCGGAGAGCAGAGGGGGAATTCTGTGACACTCGGGGGCTGTGTGCATCTCTTCTTGTGTGGATGGAAGAGGATCCTGCATCTTCCGCGCTCCGCATCTCACCCCCGCCCGGCGAAAGGCCTCCAACAAAGCCCTGCCCAGGTCCAGGGGCTGCAGGGAGGGAAGATGTAGGCGGGGGACACACCAGGAGGGGGACTGGGAAGGTGATGCGGAGGGGTCCCAGGACATGGCTCAGATTGGTACGAGGAGACTTGCTCAAGGATAGGGGCGAGGGCGCGGCGTGCACACCACTGGCGACCTACCTGGCAGGAAGGAAGCCTTGGTCCTGGGGGCCGGGACGCGCCGCCGCTGCCACTGTAGCCACCTCCTCCCGGCAGCCTCCCCCGCAGGCCTCAAGGCCGGGACCAGCAGCGGCTCCCAGGCGGGCTAGGCGGAGCTGGCCCTTTAAATCCCGGGCGGGCCGGCAGCCGGGTTAGGCCAATCGGAGAACGGGATCGGGGCGGGTACCTGGAGGAGGGAGCGGGAGGATCGCGCCAGAGAGGAGCGACAGGGTTGCGGGGATCCGGGCGCGGGGCACGTCGGCACGCAGAATGTTAGCGCGCGCACTTTTCCGGTCTGTTGTGTTCCAGCCCCGAACATTCCCACAGCAGGTTTTCTGATCTCGAAGAACAAACTTCCGAATGGCCAAATCTCTAATCCTAGGGAGTAGAGATGGGAAAAGGGGAGGGGGGAGGCAGGCTTGGTCTCCTCCGCACGCTTACCCGTGCACGTCCTCTCCACTTGTGTCCCAGTCTCACAGATGGCAAATAAAGCGAGGTCTGACCTTCCCCACCCTTCGAGACAGCTGATGGAATTTCCAACCCTCCCCATCCCCAGAACCAGTGGGAGCATTTATAGGTAATGACTGTCACCTAAGAGCACACACCAGGCGTCTGTGTTTCCCCTGAGGGCTAGCCTTGGGCGCTTGGCTTATCCAGGCCCTTGACTTATCGGTAACTGATCGCCCCACCTCACTCGACCCTAGATGAAGGTGACCCCGCCGACTAGTAAGGAATCCTGCGGAGCAGGAGGCTAGCGTGGAGCACTTCTACAGGGGGCATTTAAACATGCCTGCTATTTCAGCACGGAGCGAGGCTGAGGCAGGAGGGATTCACAACTTCGAGTGCTGAGCAATTTAGCAAGACCCTGTTTCAAAATTTTAAAAATGAAAAAGGGTCGAAGCTGTAGTTCAGGGGTAGAGTGCCCCGGGGTTCAATCCCCAGTATCACAAAGGAGGGAGGTCATTTACAGAGCACTTACAGTGGCCCCAACAAAGATCATTTTGGGCTCATAGTGCAGCACCACTAAGGATTTATGCAGCACCTGTTGTCTACCTAGGCGACCCTGCTTCTGAACATGCTACTTTATTTCTAGGCTCTTGAAAGCCCCTTTCCCTCCCTTTTTTTTTCAAAGGAGGGTCTATTCTTCCAAAGGAGCATTTATTGGCTACCAGGGCGCTTAGCTCTGATGCGGTTGGGGAAGGAAGTGTAGGTCAAGCTGGACCCCACCATGACCCCAGGAGATAAGGAAAAGGATTTTTAATAGATTAGTGTCTACCTGTGTGGAGTTAAGGAAGTCGAACCCACTCTCCCAGGGCCATAGGCAAGTACTCTGCAGTTGATCTACACCTCAAGGCTGGGAATGTAGCTCAGCAGCGCAGGGTAGCATAACCTCCCTCCACCCTCTCTCTCCCTCTCCTCTGGAAGAGGCTTTATTAGGATTTAGGCTGTAGCATAAGGTCCAGGAAGGGTACACAGAATGACAGCCCCTCCCTCCACCCTTTTCTGGTGGTACTGGGGGTTGTATCCAGGGGAGCTTTGGACTGGGCTACATCTCCAGCCCTTATTTATTTATTTATTAATTATATTTTGTTTGTTTGTTTTCTTGTTGTTTTTTGAGACAGTCTTGCTATGTAGTTCAGGCTGGCCTTGAACTCACTGTGTAGCCCAGGCTGGCCTCGAACTCACAGCAATCCTCCTGTCTCAGCCTCCCAAGTGCTGGAATTAGAGGTGTGTACCAGCATATCTGATTTACTTTTTAGTTTAAAAAGGGGTCTTATACTTCCAAAATTGTTATACAGATTTAATGTAATCCCAATCAAAATTCCAACAGCATATCTCACAGAATTAGGAAAAACAACCCTAAAGTTCATTTGGAACCAGAAGAGACCTAGAGTAGCAAAAGCAATTCTGGGCAACAAAGGCAAGGCAGGGGGCATCACAATCGCTGACTTAAAAAATTATACTACAATGCTACTGTAATAAAAACAGCATGGCACTGGCAAAAGAACAGACTTGAGGATCGATGGAAAAGACTAGAAGATGCAGAAACAACTCCAAACATACTCAGCCACCTAATCTTTGACAAAGGAGCCAAACACTTTCACTGGAAGAAAGATAGCCTCTTTAATAAATGGTGCTGGGAAAACTGGCTCTCCACATGCTGAAGATTGAAACTAGACCATATCTTTCACCATGCATTAACCTAAAATCGAAATGGATCAAAGGTCAAAATATTAAAATGGAAACACTAAATCTGCTCCAAGAGAGAATAGGTAGAACGCTTGAGGACAAGCAGAGGCAAAGACTTCATGAACAAAACCTGGACTGCATGGAATATACTACAAAGAATCAACAACTGGGTCCTCATCTTATTAAAAAGCTTTTGCACTCAAAAGAAACCACCAACAGAATGAAGAAACAACCCACAGTGTGGGAAAATTTTTTTTACCAGCTATTCATCAGATAAAGGACTATTATCTAGAATATATAAAGAACTAAAAAAAAAAAAAAAGACACCCAAAATTTAAAGACCTAATGCAAAAATGGGCATCTAAAATGAAAAGATACTTCTCAGATAAAGAAGTAGAATCGGCAAATAAATAAATGAAGAAATGTTCAACATCACTTGTCACTTGTGAAATGAAAATTAAAACAACACTGAGATTCTATCTCATTCCAAAAAGAATGGTTGCTACCATGAAATCAACCGATAACAAATGCTGGAAGGGGGGCTGGGGATTTAGCTCAGTGGTTCCGCCGCCTGCTTCGCAAGCGCAAGGACCCGAGTTCGATCCCTGGTACCAAAAAAAAAATTTAAAAAAAAAAAACAAAAACAAAAACCCCCACAAATACTGGAAGGGTTATGGGGAAAAGGGAACCCTTCTCCACTGTTGTTGGGGTGTAGACTGGAGCAACCACTGTGGAAATCAGTGTGGAGATTCCTCAAAGAACTAAAGGTAGAGGTTCCATTTGACCCAGCTATACCTCTTTTTGGTATCTTTCTGAAAGAATTAGAAGCATCCTACCACAGTGATATATGGGCACCCATGTTTATAGTGGCAGTTTGTAATAGCTAAAGCTTGGAAACAGCCCAAATGCGCATCAACTGACAAATGTATAAGGAAGATGTGGTTTTTTTTAATACAATGGAGTACTACTCTGCCATAAAGGATGAGCTTCAGACGTTTATAGCTAAATGGATAGACCTAGAGACCATACACTTAAGTGAAATAAATCAGACACACATGTTTAAATACTGCATTGCTTCTCTGGTGTGAGAAACCAAAAGATATTGGGAAACGGGAAGAAAATGTTCAAATGGGAAGGGGAACAAGGGAGGAAGGATGGAGAAAGGAAGGAAGGAACAAGAAACAAAAGTGAAAATAGAAGAAAAAAATGGAAACAAAGCTTTTGTATATAGGGAGGGGAGGGGGAATGGGATAAAATATAAATAAATAAATAAATAGGGATCTCAATAAGTTGCCTAGGCTGGGCTTGAATTTGTGAACTTCCTGCCTTGGCCTCCCAGAGTGCTGGGGTTACAGGTGTGTGCCATAATGCCTGGTGAAAAAAGTACTTATAAAAACATGCTTGAGGCCCTGGGTTCAATCCCTAGTGCCACAAAAATAAATAAAAAGCACAAAGAACAAAAGTGGTTCTCCACAAAAGAAACAAGTCTAACCTGGGCGTAGTGGTGGGTGTCTATAATCTCAGCTATTTGAGAGGCCCAGGCAGCAGAATCACAAATTCAAGGCTAGCCTGGGCAATTGAGCAAGACTCTGTCTCGAAAAATTAAAAAGGCTGGGGATGTAGCTCAGTACTCTCTGGGTTCAAACCCCAGCACTGAAACAAATAACAGAAAAAAAAAATCAACATCAGACAATGCTGCTCTGTGTCCATGATGAATTAATCCAAAAACAAGACTAATCTGTAATTTTGTCTGATTGCAATCTCATGAACATTGTTTAGACAAAAAAAAAAAAAAATCCCCCAAACCTGCCAAACCTGGCTGCTAAGTGGTTGTTTTTATCTGAGGTGCTCCATATGGAACCCAGGGCCTTGCACACATTAGGCAAGTGCTCTGTCACTGAGCCACACCTGTAGGCCCAACCTGGATAATATGTAACTTCACTATCAGTTACAACTTTAATCCACTCTGATTCCCTTCCTAGATAAGATTCATTGAGATACCTACTCATAGACTTATCCTTACTTCCTATTCAGAGCAAATCCCTGCTTTCCCTGCTTCCTTTTTATGGGAGAAGGTTGGAGTCTTTGAGACAGGGTCATGCTATGTAGTCCAAATTGACCTCAAACTTGTAGTGATCCTCCTGCCTCAGCCTCCCAAGTGTTGGGATTACAGCATGTGCCACTATGCTCTGCTTCTTTCAGCCTTCACCTGTAGTCCCAGCTACTCCAGAGGCTGAGACCCTGTCTCAACACACACACACACACACACACACACACACACACACACACACACACACAGGGCTAGGAGTGAAATTCAGTAGAGTGCTTGTTTTGGAGGGATTGGTAACTGGGTATTGAACCAAGAGCCTTCCCTTGGTTCAGATCTTTATTTAAAATTTTTGAGACAGCGCCAGGGATTTAGCTCAGTGGTTTCGCCACCTGCTGCACAAGCACAAGGACCCGAGTTCAGTCCCCAGTACTAAAAAAAAAAAAAAAATAAAAAAAATAATAATCACAAGACCCATGATTGAAAACCAACTTCTTATTTTCTGTAGATGTCAA